TGCTTCCCACGCACGACGCAAGCCCACCTTTGCCGCTTTCAGCTCAGCTCTGTTAATCGAACATGTTCCAAGGTTGGATGCGAATGCCACAGTGGGGCGGCCTAGGTGATCCCTGATGAGTCCTCCTGCCGCTGCATGCCCTGTCGTCGTGATGACTGAGCCATCGGTGGAAAGTTAGAGAGAGAAGGTTCTCTGACCTCTCTCCTTCCCCAACGGCTCGATGGAAACCCAGCAACCTTTAGATGGAGGAATATGCCCTGATCCAAAACCACCAAATGGTTCACCGGTGAGTTCGTCGGTGCAACCAAGCAAGAAGTCCAAATCTCTGGCAAGTGAGGGACTCGCTGGCCAGGGATTCAGGGAAACAGCAGAGGTAAAGGGAAATTCAACAATGGTAGTGCAAGGAGTGGATGGGGTCATGAACGAGACGATGATACACTCCGGACTCGCCGAAGAAAAACACACTGTGTGCTTCTAACAAGGACTCAGTGATGGGGAGTTCCCTTCCATGGAGATCCCGGGTGGAGACGAACTGATGTCAGATGAATCATATGTTGAAGGAGTGGAGGATGATCCGAATTGTCCGACGATTTGGGTCAAGAAAAGAACAGACTGGAAAATCAAGAAGCGATGGGCGAGAGCGATTACGTTTACGATGTTGGGGAAACAACTATCATTCCCTTTCATCAACCGTCGGATCCAAAACATGTGGGCAAAAACGGGGGGTGTGAGAGTCGGAAACATTGGGAACGACTTCTACCAAGCTGTCTTCGACACACAGCTCGACTGCGACTGTGCCCTTTATGGTGGACCATGGCCCATTGAAGAACACTACGTTGTTGCAGAACCGTGGTGACTGGAATTTGATCCGGACTTCGACAGAATCAACCACTCTATGATCTGGGTAAGACTCCCTCGGCTTCCTCTTGCTTATTTTAAAGAGGATATCCTCAATGATATTGGGAATCGACTTGGAAGAGTGGTAAAGATTGATTATAACACATCCAATGGATTGAGGGGAAACTATGCTAGGTTATGTGTTGAAATTGATATTTGCAAAAGATTGGTGTCAAAATACAGACTAAAAAGGAGAGTTAGACGAGTTGAATATGAAGGACTTGAAGAAATTTGTTTCGAATGTGGGAAATATGGGCACTTCCAAGATAAATTGTTATAAACGCGCTGCTACGGATCGGGAAATCGCCGGAATCGACAAAGCAAGAATACGAAAGCAAGAATCAAAAAACACAGACACACGATTTACGTGGTTCACTAACACGATGTGTGCTAGCTAGTCCACGGGCGAGAGAGAGCCAGTTTCACTATATCGAGGAGATTACAGATTACAGAGGAGTATGAGAAGTATTTATAGTACTTCTCCATGTGGGTCTAAACCTAATCCAATATAGCAAAGGAAACGGTTACAGACCAGGCCCAGAACCCGAACCCAAATAACATTGAGCCCATACACCGTGGGCCGGGGGCATTGCCCCCGCACCCCCACCGGGGCGTTGCCCCTAGACCCCACTCGCTGACCGGGCAGCGAGACCCCCGATTACCAGTCGTAGCGGCTGATAGTCCGATTCAAGTCATATCAACATAAATGTTGATTTGGGCCTAATTGTACATGTTTCCCCCTATTTTCCTTAGTCGTTTGTGGAAACTTCGCTCCTAAAAGGTTGGTTTTACGCTAGGTTTCTCGTGTTTTAGTGTGTTTCAGGATTTAACAGGTGAAACCAGCCTCGGAGTCGAAAGTTGGAAGAAAAGGATCGAAAATCGGGAGAAGAGGTGGAAAAGGGCCAGTTCACGGCTACCCCAGGAAGTTCACGGTCTTGCACGACCGTAAAGAAGAGCCATTGACCGTGAACCTTGAGGCGTCCAGAGCCAAAACAGTAGTTACTGATGCAAGGTGAGTTCACGGTCACTAAGACCGTGAACTGAGGCTGTCGTCCATGAACGGATGTAAACAAAGCGGTGTGTTTTGGCGTTCATCTGCAGTTCACAGACGCGTTTCATGGTTCACGGCCGTGAACGCAGGCCGTGAACTAAGCTCATCTCTGGTTTAAAAGATGAGCTTAAAGGATTTGAAAGCCCATTTGTGTGAAAAGCCGTCTTCAGATTTCTAGAGAGAGGAACACGAACCAAAGAAGAAGAAGGCTAGGGTTTTGCTTCAAGGTGGATTTTGGGAAGATTTCCTCCAAGGAAAGTTCAACACAAGGGCCAAGAAGATTGGGAGCATCCTCCAAGATGGTTTCTACCTCTTCTCCTTGTGTTTTCCCCATTTCTAGCATGGAGTATATTTCCTTTCACTTGAGTGTTGTGAAACCCTAACTCTGCCATGTAGTTTCTTTTATTTGAATTAAATGATTGTCATTAGGTATTGGTTAATTCAATGATTGAGGTATTATTCATGTTGATTGTGCATGCTTGTGCTTAGCAACCTAAGGGTTGTGCATGTTTTGTGCTTAGCATCCTTAGGTTTGTGCATTTTGGTGCTTAGCAACCTAAGGATTTTGCATAATTGTGCTTAGCATCCTTAGGTTTGTGCATGTTGGTGCTAGCAATCTAATTACCCACCTTAACCTAGCTTAGAGAGGAAAATCCCCCTTCCAAGGGCGACTCAATCGAGTTGGTTTTCCTTCAACTTTTTAAGCCACCTAACTAAGTTAATTTAGGGCAACCCTCAATGTTGAATTATGAAAATTGGTTAATCGCGATTAAGCAGTCCGACCCTTGATTTGAGTGAGGGAGTAAGTCAACTACATATTGTCTAAACCGAGAGGGTCGAGGGACACGGCCTATAATGTTTACCTCGGTTTAGCAATTGAGATTGTGATCTCCGACCATCTATGCATCCCTCTGCGGTTCGTGGTTACCTTGCCCAAAGCAATCGTTCCAATTCACATACCATGGTAGTACTTAGGGGGAAGCGATACCCGAGTGATCCTTCCACAAAAGAGTTTTCAAAATCATTTACATTTGCCTTATTTTATTGTAATTAGCAAACTTTTAAACCAAAACTTTGTTGCTAGATAATGATTAAAATTACTGAAGTAGGGGTAGACGGACAGGCCCGGGTTGATATTTAAACATACTTATCCTATACTGCACCCAACTAAGGTTTATACTTGAACTTTAGGCGGGAATTTATTGTGGTATTCGAAGTGAGTCAAATGCCCACTTAGAAAGAGCACAGCAGCAGGAGACCAAAAGGAAGGAGAAGGCAACGTTGAGGAGAGAATATTGTAGAGCCCAGAAGTCAGACCAGAAATACTGGAGGATTTCGGACCATGGATGATAGCGTCTAGGCCGGTGCGAAGAAAGAATCATTGGTGATTTTTAATTTGACGAATTGGAGGCTGAAAGAAGACTAATACTAGTGTTTGCTTTTCAGTGTTATGAAAATAACAATAGATTGGTGGTTGAGGGTCGTGTAGTAGTGAATGAGAGAGTCTAGTTGAGAGTATAAAATACACACTAGCTTATATTTCGGTATTGTTCGGTATTTCGGTATATACCAATCCCAATCCAGTAATCCCTAATACCGAATAACAATTGAAATTGAATCACAATCCTAAAAAATAATACGTGTATTCGGTAATACCAAATATAGACAAATTCGGTACGGTATTCGGTATATCCCAAATACCGGTACCAAAATTCCAGCCCTACTAGACACCTACTACTACATTATATTAGACACGAAAAACACTACAATATTAGTAGCCATTAAATAGAACCCCCCAAGATTAATAACAGGAATCTCGAGCCAACATTTTATGGGCGGGTAGTATGGGTACCTGTAATACCCAAATGGGTATTAACGGATAACCCGCGGATATCCATTGTAGAACTTTTTTGTATAGTTTAAGTGTTTTGTAGGAGAGCTATAACTTCCTGATGAGTGGTATTGGTATGTATTTAATATTTATGTCAAGGGTTTGTTGTAAGCTAACTATATTAGGTGTATTAACTCGAATGATGTATTAACTCGAATGATGATGATAATCATGGATGGTTAGTCTTATTATTATTGCTTATATATAATGATAGTTTATGATAGTAATAACATATGGTTATATTTTATTCATTAACAGGATAATTATTTTCATGTAAAGTTATGTTATTTGGTTAATCCAATTATCCGATTAACCAAACCAATTAAACTTTGGTTTGGTTAATTTGATTTCCGTCTTAATTTGGACGGTTTGGTTAAAACATTTTATTCCATTATTAATGAAATTTAGGCTTGATTGATTCGGTTATTACCATGGTAATCATTTGAACAACCCTACCACCCACCCATCAGATTTGCTTAGAATATAAGAGGAGGATGGGAATAAAAGGAAGGAAGGGGAAGGGTTCTAACCAAGGTTGTCAACCCGCGGGTTGACCCGGACCCGGTCGAGCTAGTGGGTCAAGGGTTAATGGGTCAACCGTTTTAGCCCGGTTTGGCCCGGAAATATAGAAAGAGTCATTATATTGTACTTATTCTCATAAATTATATCAAATCTTATCTAACATATGAGTTATAACATATAATATTAGGGTTAATTGCAAGGATGGTCACTAGGTTTACTAAAACCGTTCATGTTTGGTCACTGCAAATATTTAATTAATTTCATTCATGGTCACTAAGATTAGTTGAATAGTTCAAGTTTGGTCACTCTCCGTTAGTTTTTGCTTATGTGGCAGTCAACTATTATAGTTGACCGTTAAAAAAGTGACGTGGCCATTAAAAAAATAATAAAATAATAAAATTTAAATATTTATAATTTTCACCTCATTTTACAACTGTTAAATAAAAATAAAACTAGTCCTTACACACTCTGCTCCTCCCAGAAATCAATAGTGACCATTCCCTCAATTTTCCATCACACCTGTCCATTTCCCCTCCTCTGTCCCTATTCTCAATCTTTCCTCTCTCGCCATGAGAGGATTCCCAGAATTCTACCACTTCTCCTCCTCAACAACATCCACAGTCACCTACGCCTTTCACGATGAGCCACCCAACCGCTGCCGCCGTTGACCAAGCAAATTCCCATCCACTCCATCAAACCACCGACACTAGATCCGCCTCCGCCGCTGCGACCAAAATCCAGGCGCGTACCACGCCCGCACGTACAATCCGCCTGCTCTACCGTACGATCTCGGCCGTGGACGCCGAGTCAGGGGAGATCGACCGGCGGATCCAGCGGCAGGAGACGGTGGACGCGGTGAGGAGGGAGGAGAGGGAGAAGGCGAGGGTGAACGAGGAGCTGATGCGGCTGCTGCTGAGGCTGGACGCCATCCCCGGGTTCGATCCGGCGGTGAGGGAGGCGAGGAGGAAGAGCGAGCAGGCGGATTGTCGGGATTCAGGAGGTGCTCAACGGGATCTGCGAGTCGAGAGTCGAGGATTGGGACTGGGACGGCGGTGGCGGCTGGGAATTTTGTTGGGATCGGACGGTGGCGGAGATGGAGGAGCGGAGTGTGTAGGGAGGTAAGTTTTATTTTTATTTTTAATAGTTGTAAAATGAGGTGGAAATTGTAAATATTTAAATTTTATTATTTTATTAATTTTTTAATGGCCACGTCACTCATTTAACGGTTAATTATAATAGTTGACTGCCACATCAGCAAAAATTAACGGAGACTAACGGAGAGTGACCAAACTTGAACTATTGAACTAATCTTAGTGACCATGAATGGAATTAAATATTTGCAGTGACCAAACATGAACGTTTTAGTAAACCCAGTGACCATCCTTGCAATTAACCCTATAATATCTGAATCGCTATTCATCGCCCTAGAATTCAAATTTTATCGCCCTAAAACACAAAAAATTGACATATTTAACCCTCAATCCAATTTCAATTATAAACCCTAACCAAACAATCCATAGTCTCCCTTCGTCGCCCCCGATCCAAATCTGCCACCGTTCACCCAAAAAATCGAAGAAGAAGAAGGTGTCGCCTCTGCTCCTGCTCTGTCGCCTTTGCAAACGGGCGTCGGGCCTCCCCTGCTCAGTCGCCTCCCCTGCTCACCCAACCCGAGCAGCTCGTCGCCGACAAAAGAAAGAAGACACCCGTCGGACGGGTAGAAAATCTGTCGTCAGCGCTGTGGGGAAGACTTGATGATCTGTAAGAGATGAAATTGCAAAGTGCAGTTGGGGACTTCAGCTTTTAGGAATGCGTTCTCATTTAATGAAATTGTTTCTTGTGTACTTGCTCAAGCTAATGGTGATCAACTGATGATTGTCAAGCAGCATATTATGGAACTGCGGTCATGTTCTGATCACCGTGTAATTACTCTTAAGCACCGAAGTGTTAGAATTTGGTGGAAGTGGGTGCCCCTATTCTAGCATGATGTTCTTTCTTCCAAAACTTCGTATTGTTTCCAAATTAGTAATTGATTTTGCTGAGAGTATAAAGATGAAACTTGACTAGAAATTAGTAATTTATTTCAGTTGATACATCTATTTATGCTGTGATTTTTGTTTTTCCCCGGTAATATATAAGTTTGTTTTGGCTTTTAAACTATAAAAAAATTAACTAAGGGCATTAAAGTAAAATTAATTTATTTAGGGCGACAAATAAGGAATTTTAGGGCGACGAATAGCAATCCCCTATAATATTACATCAAAATAACATATCGTACTTAGATCCAACATATAGTGAAAATTCACACAGACTTATATAACATAAATATTCAAATGTTCAACTTAGTATTCCAAAGATTGAGTTAGGCGAAAAGAAAAATTGGAAAATAGGCACATTTCGCAAACTAAAGAAAAAAATGACACAATTTGACCTCCAACCCGGAACTTTATAGCGATCGGCCCGGCAGGTGCGTGCGGCCCGTTTTTCTCACCGGATCAGGGTCAAATTGGGTCGACCCGTGGGTTGACAACCTTGGTTCTAACAGATTTGCTTAGAATATAAGAGGAGGATGGGAATAAAAGGAAGGAAGGGGAAGGGTTCTAAAGAACCGAGCCAGCTGCAGCCTGCAGTGAAGCATGCACGTGGTCGGGTGGGCGGTAGTAGTAGTAGGATGTCAATTTGCGGGTCCGTCCAGTCCACTCCTGGGCCGGGCCTGGGCCGAATCTCTCCCTGTCTCACTACCATTATAATAAGACATGGGTGTGTGGTTGCTGCTGCTCGAGACTGGCGTCACAAAACCTGTCCCTTCATTCATTATTTCATTTACATAAATTGCGCTCTCTAGTCCTTTCTAACATTTTTTTATTTCCCGAGAGACAAACTTTGGCTGTTTGTATATTACGGTTGACCTCCTACAAAAATGACTGGTGGTTTGTAATATTGTTGTGATGATGTGAAGAATAATTTAACGGTTATGTTGTTAGTGATATAATTGATGATAATTGAATCGATAGCTGATTAAATAGTAAACGGTCAATTTTTGATAGTCAAGTTTAGTTAATTATTAATAGATGGTTAACCACTAACCAAATACGAACATTCTCATAGTTATGGCAGAAAATAATCGACATCGAAATAAAGAAAGGGCTTTAGAAGAAGCACTATAGAAAGTTGGACTTGCAAACAGTACTTAACTCAAGAACAATAAGTAACATTTAAGCTTCACTTTAATTTGGTTGGGTTCACAATTTGGGTAATTGTTGTTGGGTCCTTTATTCTTGTTTGCTACTTTAATCAAATTTGAGGGTAGAATGTTGTGAATTTTTAAAATACCTTCATGGTGATTTCCATAATTTTAACATATTGTAGCAGGTTTCAGAGGTCACATTACGTAAATCATTATCTAATAGGTACGTAACGCATGTTTATCTTACGTAATAGTTGCAAAATGTCATTATGACGTCTAACGTAATAGACAATCATTGTACGTAATGAATATTAATCGTGTGTTACGTAAAGCGTTAAGTCATTACGAAAGCCTTTTTAATATAATTAACGGTTACGATAAGTAAAAAGTAATTATCGTTCCATAACATTTACATAAAGAATGTGTATCTTACCTAACAAATATTCCATTTGCATGATAAATATTAACAAAAATATTAAGTCCATTACAGAAAGCTGACCTAATGATTCTTATCAAACTTTTAAGTAAGAAATATTGTCATTTCGTAATTAACCTTTTTGGATGCGGATAATAGATAGATCAACGTGGTAAAGTGATTTTGATTAATCGATCCATGCACAACAGGACAAGGACATCTTTTAAACACTTTGTCCAAATCACGACTTTACCAAAGTGGAGCGCATGCAGTTGCACAATGGTACCCATAATCAAGGAAGATATGTATGTCAGCAGGCTGTTATGGGGTAAATTATAGGAAGCAGCACACCAAGTCCAAGGAAACAGAGTGCGGTGGCTGGCCTGGCGCCATCTGCTCTATATTTGATCATCTTTCCATGTGATGTGAGGAACACTGCTAGCTAGCTAAGTTCAGTTGGTTGGTAACTTGGTCTTCGGGGTGAGGAACACTTCTCCGTCGGCACAAGATGACAACCCACCGCCGCTAGCTGCTCGCGCGTTACCCATGCAGCCCTTAGCTCTCTGTTTTTCCTTTGTCGCCCAACAACCATTCGAGACGAGAGACCAACGGCCAGTGAAGAGATAAAAGAGACAGAGATTTGATTTGATGCACAGTATGATCAAAAGTAATGATAGAATAATTCGTGGATGAAGGTTTACTGCCTCCGTCTATATATACTTGGATGGTCTAGCTGAGTTACACAATATATAAAACCATGTACTAAACCAGCTAGCTCACACTCACACAGGTACTTGAACTCCTCCGATAGTAATGGAAATCAATAACGAATGAAGCGGTCATTATATTATCTACCCTTACAATGTCGCTACCTATCGTTAATATATATAAACGTGAAGTAAGGTTACGGTTGCCGAAAGAAGTACATTTTGATAATCCAAATTTAATAAAATTACAACTTAATCACTATAATGTATATTTTATATTTTGATACTTCAAATTTAATTTTAATGTAAAATCATCAAACAACTATGTTTTAGTATCTAAACTTTATATGAGATGTTCGTACCTGCAATTTTTAAAATTTACATATTGATCCAATTTTTATATTTCACTTGAATCCATAAATCCAATCCACCAATCCATGAATCCAATCCACTATCCACCAATAATATATAGTAGAGTTTTGTCTACTTTTCTCTATTTCAAATTTCCTGCAACGAGAGTGAAAGTAGAAAGGGCAATTTTGTCTTTACAATTAATTATTTATTTCATATAAAAAATGTCAATATTAAGATTTGAACTCAGGTCTCTTCAAATAAAGACAACAATCGCAACCAATTACGCTAAACAAATTTTTTGTATCTATTTTAACACAAAACATACATGAAGTGACACTCTGAAAATCAGAGGATTTTTTCATCATGATTAGCAAGCCCAGTAAGTCTACCGTATGTATTTTTATGGTGATTGATACTTCAATTTTCATAGCAGAGTTTCATGTAGTTTCTCAATTCTAAAATCACTTCTCTCTCCTTAATTTTCACTAAAGGTAAATTGGTAATTGGCCAACATGGAAGAAACTGATTCTATTACTACGTGTTGTGTTCTTGTATTTTCAATTTATTTTCCAATTTGTACTTTTTTATCTTTGTTCTTATCTCTTTTTAACGACCTCTGAAATTCCCTCCACGGTGCAATAGTTTGCTCCCCTTCACTTCACAGTTCAAGGCCGCCTTTGAAAATCAATCTTCTGGTCTCTTGGCACTATGATTTTAATCTTGGGGATTTAAAATGGGCAAGTAAAAGATTTCAACTCCGATATCAATCAATGGCGAATAGAATGGAGTTCAATAAATGGAGGTCCCGAAGGAGGATTAAAAATTGAATTTTTTGTTGAAACATACCCCTTGAGATTGAAGATATAGTGGATAAAAATTTTATTGTACAACGGAGAGTGGTGGCTATTGGATCTATAGGTTTATGGTTTTTGAAGCTATGACGACCTAATTATATCTTAAAATGAGGAATCATCGATTGATTTACTAAAGTAGGTCGGTCAATTCTTTATTTAACCTACTGGAACTGATAGAGAAGGAGTGTCTAATTTTGTTCCTTATTACTTTGATCGAGTCTATTAGTATATTGGAGGTAACCCTAATTTGACGTTTGCTCTCAAGTTCTGATGGTCCCCTCTTAGCTGAGTTTTTAACATATAGTTGACTTGAATTAACAACTCTCTATTTCTTTTTGATTAGTGGAATATTGTTCCTAAAATGAAAGCATTGAACCTTTATGTAGGATTGTGAGGTTTAAGATTTAGTTTCAAACTATCTATGGTTCGTGAGGGAATTTCAGTGAGCTTTGATACTCTATCTTTCTTGATAATCAAACTAACCAATAGCATTTTGCCGGAGACTTAATTATCATTATGAAAATGAGATCAATGATACATTTTATATTTCTTCAAATGTTCGATCTATATATTCTTTCTATATGTATTATCTCGATCGAAGGATTGTC